TGAATTTACAGTACCAGTCGGGGCGCGAGTTTTGGAGGTGAAAAATGGGTCTTACCTCATTCAGGATGATGACGGAAATGTGGGTTATTTAATTTTTTGCTAATTTTTATTGTATCCAAAATTTTTATTGAAATAATTCTATACTCTTTAGGTATCCTTTTTAGTTCACTTTGTTCTAGTACACCTTAATTTTAATCAGCTCTTACTAGTTCGATCCCTTTAGCCTACGTTGATAAGAATAGATATCGGTTAAGGAACTATTCCCTGTCTGCTTAATCTGCCCTTCATTTGGTTTAATATCCGAACTTTTCACATCAGAAATGTTGATAACGCTGCTTTTAGAGTTTCACCATTGATGCTGACACGGAATGTCACCTGATGCACCCAAGCTCCATAAAAAGCATGCCAGACATGATTGCACTCGGAGAGCTAACTGAGTGTGGCATATTGCGAAACCTTTACTTGCGCTACCAGGAGAACCAGATATACGTAAGGAGACCTTTTACAACATTGCCTTTTTAAAGACATACACAGGATCGATTCTCATTGCGATCAACCCCTACCGACCACTTCCAATCTATTCGTTGGATACAATGAAGGAATATTCCAATAAGGGTATTGGCGAACTGCCACCCCATCTATTTGCCATCGGTGACAACGCCTACCGCAATATGAGAAAGAATCTGTGTGACCAATGCATAATTATAAGGTCTCGCACGTCCCTATGCAATACAAACTTAATGATCCGCATCTTTGAAACCTTTGTCTTAAAGACTGATTTCGATTGTGCCATTGCCTTGCTTTTAGTGGCGAAAGTGGAGCCGGAAAGACAGAGAGCACGAAATTATTGCTGCAGTTCATTACGACAGTGAGCGGAAAGAAGTCATGCATTGGAAAACAAATCCTCGATTCTAACCCAATAATGGAAGGTGAGAATTTGAAATCGCGACTTATTATGTGGACCGCGCTGTTAAATCCTAACCGATCAGGGCGCTTGCTAGATGCATGCTAGTAGTAAATGTTTCCTACCGACGAACGGAGGACTACTGAACTGTAGCTATTTAGTTAAAATCAGCAGCTAGCTTTACTGACTGTTGTTGAACGGTGGAAATTAATAAAGGTTTCCAACAGAAGCGAACAGGAAAGTTAAAGGAGGCAATTCAGAAGAAGATGCAATCACTGGAGAAAGGAGTTTATTGGCCGGACGTTTCGGGTTCTCACTCTCAACCCATTATCTGCAACTGTCCCTAATGGTAGGTTCGAGTGAAAATCGAACCGTCCGATCAATAAACTTATTGTTCCAGTGATCTCATGTTCCTCTTCTTCTGACCGACAAAAGTAACAGAGAGAGCGTTTATATTCTGGACTCACTGCAAGAATCATTATCAAGCCGAACACAGCCTGTTATATCCTGCAGTTTCCTATTCTTTACGCTCTCCCTGGGGGTTCGGCACTTATTACAGTATGTTCGAAACCCTTATGAGGCTTTTAGTAAACTGAAAAGGCAATATTTCTGTAGTACATTTGATTATATGCTTAACTAAAGGTGTTTTAGCTGTGGTTGGTGCTGTAAAAGTGTTAGGTCTCCTGCCCCACTTCCTTTGGATTGTGCACTTCTTAGGACGCATACCTCACAAGGCCTACAATTCTAGATGATATTGATCCTTGCTTTTGGTTTGGATGAATTGGTTCTTTCGTTCACAGCCTTCGGAAACGCCAAAACTGTACGCAATGACAACTCATCCCGATTTGGAAAGTACGTTGACGTCCACTTTGATCAGAACTCCGGTCGCATTGTGAGTGCACGGATCGAGCAGTACTTGCTGGAAAAATCTCGCATCGTCACGCAGGCCCCTGGCGAGCGAAACTATCATGCCTTCTATTGCATGCTTGCGGGTATGAAGACGGAGAGGAAGAACCAGCTCGGTCTTAAGGATGTCAGTGCCTACAATTACCTCGTTCAGGTTAGTTTTACACTCGACCCCATTACTGCGTTTTGTCCCGCAATTTGAGTAACCTGGGCCATTTCGGGATGCCAAAATCATGTGATCTGGGATGCTTACGATCACAGAAGTCATAAGTAAACCTACAACTCAGGAGCTGGGTCTTAAAAAAGTATAGAGATTGAATTCAAGTCTTATATTGATCCTGATAATGTGTCCGGTATAGGTAATTGAAAACAGCAGAAAACTCCTAGTTTTGGTGATTCTAGTCTCATCAGTTATTTTCCGGCATGACATTTACCCGGGATCATGTTTAAAACGTGACCTTATTGGGTAATACCTGCCTTAACTGGGAGCTTTCCTACGATTTTCATCAAAGTTATTAAAGATGGATTACAGCAGAGTGTTTAACTGATCTTAGCCTCAAACAGCATTCGCATAGTCCTACAACGCCCACTATCTGAAAGGCTCGTCTTCACACACATCAGACAAGTACCTGACAGCCTTAGTCCTTAGGAATGTCCTGTTGACTATCAGTAGTACTTGGAAAATGGTCCCTGCACCCCTTCAGTGTCACCAGCATTGTGCATCTGGCGTATCACATGAAATGGTAATCGAGATTCTGAAATGTGTTTTCGACTGGAAAGAATCACGTAAGTGGGACTGCAATATTTACTGGCATGTAGTATAATCCCAAGGTATTTCCGCCACGCCAGGATATCTGCTTTTGGGCCCGTTTTTATCGGCTGTCTGCAAAAATTGCATTCAGTTAAAAAGAACTACTTCAGTAGTGGGAATTTTTCGAACCGACTTTCGATCTCCGCACAAATTCAAATATATTTCATAGAAAAGATGCTCAAACAGACTTTTTTCCACTTGTCTGGTAGAAAAGTATGTTTTCCGAAATTTTTCGGCTTAAAAATTTCTATTTATGAGATTTTTAGGACTGTGAAAAGTCCATCCATACAGCATCATATCAGTCCGTTTTTAGATTCCCTAATGAATCACACAGTATGACCCATATTCATTAAAATATTTCATGCGCTCTGTAGGATGACTTCCTGGTAAAATAGAGAAATTTGTGATTCTCCTTATACATAAGGTATACAGCATGCGGTTTGGAAACCCTAGGCGCAAGTGTAACCGCAGATCGAGTTTAAGACTATACGAAAACTGAAGAAGGCTTTTTAAACGCTAAAGCAGCGGTAACAAACCATAATACCTAAGTTTTAATTTTTTTACCGAGTATGGCTTTGTAGGCGATCAGAAAGAAGCTCGTTCAAAAGTTGAGGTTCTGCCGTGACTGAAATATCTCGCGATTATGCGGCCTGCTATTAAATATTACAACCCCACCTAAGTGATCTTTTCTTATAGAAAACACACTTCAGACTTTCGGTTAATAGTTCATGAAGTACGCCAAATACTATAAGATGCATGCATCTTTACTAAAAGAAGTCTACCTACAAAAAGTCCCTTAATGAAATTTCAAAAATGCTTATATGACCTAACGGCCCACTACAGCCCCAAGAGAACTACGGCAGTATTTTCATCTCAAATCTCGATTTAAAGCCGTTTATTTAGGGTAAATCTGGAAGCAATGATGTATCCTTTTTGTTTTGTAGAATGAAAACGTTTGTGATAACAAAAATGACGCAAATCATTTCGAAACAATCGTGTCTACAATGAAGTATTTGAAGTTTCGTGACAAGCAAATTGATGACATATGGAATCTCCTTGCTGCAATCCTTCACCTGGGTAATATTTCTTTTTGCGAAACCCTCAAAGAAAGCGCCGATGCAAGCAAAATCGTGGACTCAAACCGAGCAGAACTCCGCTACGCTTCCAGTCTGCTTGGGGTACGTGTTTAACATCTCAACTGATGTTCTGCTGGAAAAAAGCAGTTACTTCTAGATGGTAAAAAACTCGTTAACACCGGCCGTTCCCGCAGCTCCAAGTACTCTTCCCTGCCTTTAACTTTTCTCACCTCTATTCACCTGTTTCGCTACCACAGTAAACCTGCTTTATTGTGACTTAGATATTTGTTTGGCGATCTTATTATCCCGTTCTCAAAAAACCTAGACCCTGTCACCACTTGAGTTACAATGCAACCTTTCTGGGCCTGACGGAAGGGCTCTAAAGAGTTTCGAACTTTGCTCCATAACTGCGTAACTATGAAGTGGCTGAACGATAAGCACTGCGATTGTTTACTTTTACGATGGACAAAATGGAATTTAAACCAAAATGCTATTTTAACTGCACGTTAAGCATGCACAAATATACACGTCTCAATTATTGGTCGATAGTGCAAAGCGTAGTAACGGCTTTTTTCAGGAGCAACTAACCGTCAAACAAAATGTATTCTTAGCGTGTATACTTCGAGTCATCCAGTATTTCGATGTGCCAACTTGTGTGTGAACGTTTCTTTTTTCCGTCCTCAGATGAGTCCAGGCTGCCTGGAACGAGCTTTAACCACAAAACGTCTTCTCACTGCTGGGGAATGCGTGGTTGCGCAGATCCTGCCGGCTACAGCGCATACTGTGCGTGACGCCTTCGCAAAGACCATCTACGACCAACTCTTTAGGTGGATCGTAGAGAAGATAAACGCAGCTATCTATCGTCCCCTGGAGGGCGCGAAGCCAAAGACATCAGCGCAGACACCGTCTTCTCGTCAGAGCACGTCCAGGCCGGTTTCTCTAAATCGCGTCTCAGACGACCGTAGGTCCACCAGTCTGCTTGGCTCACGAGGCGCGCAAAAAACCATCACTTCAGACTCTGACGCCCATTGGGCTCCCCGCAACCGTAGCCGCTCAAAAGCCGCTGACACAGCCGAACACAAGGATGTCGATTCCTCCGGAACGGCGACCACATCGACGGTTGTTTCATCTGCAGGCCCTGGAAGAGTTTCAATCGGTGTCTTGGATATTTTCGGCTTTGAGAACTTCTCTAAAAACAGGTTTTTACCGTTGAAAATTGTTTCAGCACAAATACCAGGCTACCGTTTCAAGTAGCCTATTTAACCTAATTCAATATTATTAATTTTAACGCGCAAAGCAGTTTAATTCTTCCTTGTGCCACTCCTATTAAGTCGCCCACTGATTCTAATCCTAAGTAGAAATAGTAGAAATGACAGACAGGTCTATTAACTCCATGGCCGATGAGTGCGTTACTCCTCGACGATATGTGGTCATGTGGCAAATCACTGATGCGGAAACCGACTGAAGGAAGGCCAGTTTACGTTGATCGAGGGTCGGGCAAGTGGTTTTCACGTGCAGGCGTGTGATTTATGTTCGATCAACTACTGCGCAATCATCCACTTCTAGCTGCCTCGACCTTTTCATGTCATCTGCGGTAACAATCGGGAGAGGGCACCCAAATATCCGTTGCCTAGAAATGATACCTGCTATACCTATTTGAGTAGGTTATGGCCCTACATATTTGTTGTTTCATTCGACCTCATTTTTATCTGATGTGCAGTGTACATGTTGCCTCAGTAAGATTTTCATAGTCTCCACCAAGTGAGAATGCTAGAGAGAGCATATTAAAAGGAAGCTATCACGGCCTGGCTCTCAGTCCTGAGGAGGGTGGACCGAGTTATCCCGTCAGTTGGCAACCTTTACAGCCACGAATCTCAGCACTTCGGGGCAGATTTAAGGGCGCCAGATTTATCATAATGAGGAATGAGACTGATCTCCGTGTTAACGTCCATCGTTCTTCCCTCCTCCAGGTAGCAGTCCATTGTCTGAGCCTCGTAGACCAGTCCAAAAGCCGACAGAAGCTAATGCTTTTGATACCAGAGGATATCAGTTAGGTTGGTCTAGGTATTGATTGATGGGTCAACAGATGACGGCCATATTTGTCGTTGACAAGGAAATCCGCTCGGAGCTGCGACCGTTTTAGCTTACCGTTCTTTTACGGAGTTGTTGTTTCACATGAGGAGAATGGACGCGCTGTTCCTCGGTCCTACCCATTCGTTGTTATGTTGCGTACTGTACTTACGACTGTGGATCATGTCAGTTGACGTCGGTTATAGGTGAAGGATAAACATGGAAAAACCTAACGACTTGGAAGTGATGGATGAACCAAAACTATTCCGTGAGGTTTACGAAGAAAGCGAGAACGTCACTGCTCATTCGTCAAATAAAAATCCTTGCTAGACACGGCGTTGCACCATTTCCCTAGTAGTCCGTTCGGAACTTCATTGTTGGTTTTGCCGGAATTTTGGATCAAAAGGACTTGTTGGTCATGCCAACCCTACCCAAACATTCCATTAAATGTTCATTTTTTCAACTGCTCTTGGCGAGAAGACGAAACTAGTTGTGGACCCCTAATACAGGAACTCATAGTATGTTTAAAAATTTAACTAATCTCATTAGAACCCACAATAAATCAGTAAATTGAAACAGAGTGCTTGATCCGCATCCTGGTTTGACTTTTCAGGTATTTTCTCTATTTCTAGTTTTGAACAGCTCTGCATTAATTACGCCAACGAAAACATTCAGCAGTACTTTGTCCGGCACATCTTCAAGCTAGAACAGGAGGAGTATTTGGCCGAAAACATCAACTGGACGCACATAAATTTCCAGGACAATCAAGACGTGTTGGATTTGATTGCGTATCGACCCCTCAACATACTCTCACTCATTGATGAAGAAAGTCGTTTTCCGCAAGGCACGGACGAGAGTTTTCTCAACAAACTGAACAGTCGACACTCTAATACGCCAAACTACGTGCGGGCTTTGTCAACAGCTGAAAAAGTAAGCTGTTCTCCTCGAACTTTAATGAACGCTCCGTGTCGCATTTATAGTCTAGTTGATCGATGTAGGACAGTAGGCAACAAGTTGAGAAAGATTATCGGAGTTTGCACCAGGCAATATATTTGGCCACAGTGTATGGGTTTTTGTTTCCCAAAATATAAAAGCAACTGTTTGGTTGAACGCTTAAACGCTTTAAAACTGGCATACCCAAGTTTAAATCAACAAAAATTTCCAGTAGCGGCTAGGGTTGTGACTCCGATTTTCCAATTTGCCTCTCCGACAGCACAGACAGTAGACCATTAGCTCCCCAGTTCCGTTCATGCAAAACCATTGCTTGACAGTTTTCTACCTTATCACAATTTACGGAGACATTTCCCACACATTTCCCATCAGTAAGTAAACGAGATTCGCAGTACTACGTTCGCATTTAGCCAAGTCCCTTTCTAGTACGGCAAACATTTAAGCCTCTTTTGCGTTCAGTAGATTTTGCGCCTGCCCGGATTTGATCGGAAAAACACTATCCCTGGAGTTGAGGGTGCAAGCGATTGTATAAGTCAAGAAGAGACTTAGCAATCCCTGCAGGAATTGGCGTTGTTATACGTTTAAAGCACAGCGTGTTTTCACTGGTAAAGTTGCTCCCTGTTTCATTGTAAAAATTTCAGATGTAAAAACAAATACTATTGGTAGCTTACCTGTTCGTACGCGCTAGCCTCAAACAAACGATGTTTACAAATTGGGAAGCGTGTGGCCTCAGCAATCACAGGCCTTCTACTATTATTTCCACTCTTTTCAATATTTTTCCGATAAATCTTTGCTGGCTATAATCAGATACTGCGGACACCGGCTGAGTGTTTGTTAAGTTGGGGTCGGCTTACTCATATCTCCCTTGGCTGAAGAAAGTAAATGACCAGTCAATGGAGTCCGATTGGCTGGTGATAGCGCAAAGCAGGTAGGCAGAAGAGGCGCGTTTTAAGAAGTATACAGACAAATTCCAGCTTTGGTCCTCGCGGAATCGTAGACTTGCAAGGCGCAACGTCCACAGGAAGCTATTAACAGGATAGAGCATCTTCGGCTTTGTGGATCGCGCCGTTCGTCTTTCCCGCTTAGTCTCAACTAGCCTATGGGGAATTCGGAACTCTTGGCGAGGTGGAGAATCAGTAGACATAGCTCTGTGTCAGCTTCTCCGTTGATCTTGATATTGATTATAAATAATATAAGTTCTGCCTTTCGATCTTTTTCCTGTGGAAGGAAAACTCCTATTTTGCAAAATATTGTGCAGAAAATGGCACTAATAAAAGCAATTTCATGTTATCGACGAGCGGTTTGAACGTAGAAACAGATTCCTGCCATTAATAGTTATTAGATTTTGTCTTTTTTTATCGAGAGGACTTCTAACTGAACCGGTTACTTTTCTTAACGTTTTTAGCGCTTTGGGATTCGTCACTTTGCAGGCCCGGTTTTTTATGAAGTGGAGGGTTTTCTTGAAAAGAATAGGGACACTTTCAATCACGATCTCCTGGACGTGATCGGCACCTCCAAAAATACTTTCCTTCGAGAGCTTTTCGAAAAACGGCTTAACTCCGTGCGTTTTATCATATTTTGTCCGCTTCTTGTACTTTTACAAATCTGTTTTTTTTCAAGTTTCTCTCAAATTTTTTCACATTCCTCTGGAGAAAACCCATAAGAGCAATGACTGTTGAAAATCATAAAACCTGCGTAGTTATAGTATTTAAATGTACTTTTAAGTCGAACCTTGTGCAGCAGAAATTCCGAATTTTTTTATACGCGTCTAACTCAGCTGCTTGCCTCGAAAACGGGTACTGATGGGAAAAATAGTATATGCGCGGTCTTTTACTACCTTCCACCCTCCTAAGTAGAAATATGACTTTCAGGAATTTCGATACATCACTAGGAGCTGTGATGTAGATTCGAACAAGACAGTTTACCTTTCCGTCTACGTAACTCGAAGAGAAGCTTATGGAACGCAGCAGGCTTATTTTATTCATTTAACAACTACTTCTGTGACTACAGTTCTCAGACCTGTATTATATTTTTATACAATATTTAGACTTCGGAATCTCGTTCGCGGTCATTGACGTTGAGTATGCAATTCAAGCGATCTCTGGAGCGTCTCCTCCAGATCATCAATGGTTGCCACCCCTTCTTCGTTCGTTGCATTAAACCCAACGAACTGAAGCTTCCCAACTGTTTTGATCGTGAACTCTGTGTACGACAGTTGCGCTACTCAGGCATGATGGAGACCATACAGATTCGTCGCCTTGGCTACCCGATTCGTTATAAATTTGAAGACTTCACTGAACGCTTTCGCGTCATTCTGAGACCCTGTCCACTGTCACACCGGCGCACTGCTGTGCTCAACAACATGGCTGAATTGATTTGCAGGACAGCCTTCGGGTTCGACACATCCTACGCGGTTGGAAAGAACAAGGTCTTTTTAAGGGTAAGTTGTTTTTGCGCATCTTGAGTCAAGCTGCGTAAAACAGCCGTCACTGTCCTAGCCTGACTCTTTTGGGTGCGTTGTTCAGCGCGAATGACTGTGATGACCGTTGGTTGCCTCGTCTGACGCACAGAAGCCAACTGTGCGATGTTTTATGCCAGATTACATGCTGTCGTCTCTGTTGTGTGTGTGCCGTATGGATGAAGCCTCACTGTGTCGATCATATGATTGTATTCCTAATCTCTTAACGGTTAGTACGCAGCGCAATGCCGGTGCGGTTCGAAGTTTTCATCAACTGGCCAGGTTTCAACTGAAACTTTTAAAAATCCGATATAAATCCTCGTGAAAGGTTTCGATTAACTTAAATGAAATGGCAACTCAGAAAAAGCAGAGATCTCTCTGATGCCCCGAAATCTCCGGTTTCACCAGTAGACTGGGTAAAGAACTTTAGCCTCTTAGGAAATGCAGGCAATGCACCTTGATAAGGGGAGACATTTGCTACCCTTAGTTCGCTGTGCACCGACCAAGTGTCTATCCCACATGCCAACCCGAGTAGCTTTTATTAGTACAATGCTGCGACTGTTTTTGATGAAAAGATTTCGAACCTTTTGGGGCTGATGCTCACTCCTATAACCTAAAGACGATTGGTCTAATTCAGATTCTGACATCTCTGTTATCGGCAACAAATGCTTACCTGCCTTAGGTTTTCGGCCCTTAAAGCCCGCAACATATTAAAATGGAAAAGGGTTTTAGAAAATTGGTTTAATAGTTCGGACACTGGCTTCACCACATGCAAATAGCTTTTATCGACTTATCCTGATTGAAGGACATAAGTGAGATTGGTAGGACTGACTTATATGACCCCCATAACAGGACATGGGAATAGATTCCTTCCGCCCACGCAAAAAAGGGAAGAGAAAAATATTCCGCCTGTTATAGGTAGAATGACATTACCGACAAAGACAAGGGAGACTGGAATGGCCATCTCTGGTTTATTAACCGTCATCAGCCAGTCACACCCGACCCCGAAGTGTGGAACACCCGAGGCTCGAACTCGCGACCTGTTAATTAGAAGTCCACGCCTCTAACCTTTGGGCCAGGGGCCCATTGTCCTGTCGGTTTCGATCGGGAATATACAATGGTAGGGGGCGCTCACCGATCGTTCTTACGGAACTCACTCGTTCCGTTGTGCCTTAGGGGCTCTTTCTCGATCCCAACCACTTGTCCTAACCCCAGCAATAACCCTAATACTCCCGTGTCCTAACTCCAACTAAGCCGTTGCCACAATCTTAACCCTAACCCTGCCATGATCTTTAACTCTGCAGTTAACACTAGTCCCCTCCTTAACCCTAAACTAGATCCTGACCTAACTTAACGTTAACTTAAAGTCGAACCTTTAATCTAATCTTTAAATTAGCCCCAACCATAAACTTAAACCTAACCCTAATTTCACTGGAAGTTGACTCAAAGCCACCCATACTGGAGACGGTCTCTATTCCCATATCATGCCTAGAGGGCCACACGAGTCAGGCCTACGGTGAGATTTTCCGTTTCACCTTGGGCCTTAGGGTCCAACAGTTCACGCTTGTGGTTTTAAGATCGAAAGTGCCCATTTTCAATTTGCAATCAGGGTAAATCAGTGCTCTGCGCCCTTCATGGTTTCCGATCTCATCGGACACATCATGAGCCGCTTGGCGCAGCGATGAGGGCTTTGCTCAATGGTCTAAACTCGGGCGTGATACCTACGCTGGGGTGTCATTAGATAAGATTTCCACTGTCACTGTCTTTTTTGGTAAGACTTCTTGATATAGTGTCTCCATCTACAACTGTAGGAATGTTAGTACGGGTTTCAAGACGACGGCGGGAAACTAGAAAGTCACGCGAGTCAGGTGGAGGTACACCTTCGGCAAGCCATTCAGGGGGCAGGTCTAGTTCAGATGCCGGTTGAGGATACCGTCATCTTCCTATTATCGACAAGAAACGCTGTCAAAAATGGTGTCTCTCTAAAGTCAATGGCAGCCGTACTTTTTACATTTTACAGTTTTATTATTTATGGCCTTTGATCCGATTTTATTCAGTCTATCTCCAGTTTGACCTCAGATAGTCTGATTGGTGACTATGTATATCGCAAATCATGGCATACTTCCACACACCCCCATGTGTTTCCTTGGCTGGTTACCGTAACCGTCGCGCGCTGGATGAAACCATTTCAAAAAGGACGCATTTCCGTCGCAAAAGCTTCAGACGGCGCTGACTTCATCAGGAACTAATTTTAGCCATGGATCCTGTTGCCTATTGCATTAACTGATGCAGATGTTGGGTACTCGGGTTTCTGACCGAGAAACAGTTTAATATACATGATCTATAAAGAAAACCGGAAGCATACTAGCACGAAGCCGATGTCCAAAAATTTCAGAAATCTGATGTCACCTGTTTTATTGAGGTCCCGCTAATTGTAAGACGTTCTTCTGTTCAAAATATTTCACTAGGACCAAATTATTTTCCCCCTGTGTTAGTCTTGACTGTTAGATTTGCAGTGATGAATAACAGTTTTTAGATCAGTCCCAAGGCTCTGGACAAGAGGCGGTCTTGAAGAAGGAGGCAGGATCTCTGGGACAAGAGCTTTATTCGCCCGACGTTTCGGATTTCTGCTCGAACCCATCATCAGAGACAAAAGCAGATACGGGTGGTTCATGCACAAGGGGCCGAAATTCTCGCTAGAGGTGACAACCACGTGAGCCGGGAGCTGCTTGAGTCATGGTTTACTGGCCCCCAGTCCATTAACAAGTGCAATGATCTTCCCCTTCCATACTCGATGCTGAGACTTCGCCTAGGCGGAGTAATTAGCCACGCGAGGAGCGCACAGGTTAACACTTCCCAACAGCAGGGTCGGTGCGTCAGATGGTCGAGCAATCATCACACCAACATCCAACACACGTGATGAAATTGCAGCAATTAACGACGCGAATGTCGGCCATCAAACAATTAGCACATCAAGTGCAACGATCCCTAATGAAGGGGGGAGCCGTGAACATTCATAGGTATGCGGTAACATGGCGTCTGCATCCTATAAATACTGCAGCCCCTTGTGCATGAACCACCTGTATCTGCTGTTGTCTCTGATGATGGATTCGAGCAGGAATCCGAAACGTCAGGCTAATAAAGCTCTTGTCCCAGCGATCGTATGTCCTTCTTCAAGACTACTTCCTGGGACTCGTCTCTTCGCTTCCATTGGCAAGAGACGGTCTGTCACATGGAATGTTTCGAACGAGCAATTGAGCAGACATAGCCTAGATCATTCGTCCATCCTCAAATATGTTGATGCTATTGCTAGAAGTGCCATTGTCTTTGGTCAGGATGAATCTTAACCCAACAAACCCGTCGACAGAGGGCACGGAAGTATGCTGACGGCGTATTTAGTCAGATTTCCTTCATTCAAATTTCATGCACTTCCCTCTGACGTTTTGCTAAATCAGGCGAATTAACTATGTTTCGACTACCAGAGCATTTCAACTAGACTTTCTATGAACTGCCTCCTGCCCTGTCAGTTTATGTGGGCTATGCTTGCTTCCCTACGCTCCGTTGATAAATGGGAGATGAGTTTTTCACTCTGTTTTTATCTGGCAGTTGTAACCATGGTACCAGTAGGCTGAATGCCGGTTCGTGGGAAAAAATGATTGTTAAATTTCAGACCATGACTACCATAGGCCTCATAATTTCCCGGCAGATACCCAGACTTTTAAACACCAGCTTGAAGTCCAAAAAAGCGTTCCAACGAATGTAGCTGTCCTCTACTGCATTGCCATGGTTTAGGTACCCTGATCTGCTTTAAAATGCAATTATGTTCCTCAGACTATAACCACCATTTCAGACGGCTCATGATGGCCAGCTGGAATGTCTCCGCGAGAAGATTCTCAATGAGAAGTCCGCCTTCATTCAGAGTCGTTGGAAAGGTGCAAAACAACGACAGCAGTACATTCGCCTGCGCCAGGCAGCAATCTTCTGCCAACTACGCTTCAGGCAGTTAGCCGAACGACGTCATTTTTTGAAGGTAGGCAGTTTTTAGCCCAAGCACGATGCTCATCGCCATCTTCCTGAGTTAAACGCACATCTGGAATGCCGAGCCATGGCTTTGTACCTCCTCCTCTTCGGTCTGGTTCAAAAAACACACTACCCTAAATACACAGAATCCTTCCATCGCTTTTACGATATCTTTTGCCCTTTTTGTAGTTCAAGCGGCTAGTTATCCGTCTGCAGGCCAATGTGCGTGCTCATCAGGCCAAAATTCATTTCCAGCAGACGATAGGATTCATTGTTAGCATTCAATCCATGGCCAGACGTTGGCTGGCTGTTCGCGGCTCCAGCATCTTGGCAAAGAGGAAGAAGTATGTTCACGCAGACTCGGTCATCCAACAGGTAGGGGGTTCTGGCCGTGATTGGCACCGTCTTTTGTTCCTATTCCCGCAGTCTCCACGCGGCATCTCGTTATGTTCCTCTTTATCCGACTGATTTTGTTAAATCGCCACTTTTAGACTCAGAGACTTTAGCGTTGATCTTCATTTCACCTAAACATTTTTCTACTTTATTTACATGTAAGACAATATTTTAATCAGGGTTTGATACGTTGAGCTTCGGTCCCTACCTCGGACGTAAATACCTGTTTCGTTAAGAAGTTACCAAGGAATTTTCTTGATGTGGGCTATCATTGCAAGAATCAGCTGAAATTCCACTGTTGTACCATAGACTCCTTCCATACAGTAGGTAGCCTATCTCATGAGACATTGGCTCAGGCCCTAGAAAGTGGTCCCCATTGGAAATGACTATTTAGGGGACGTTGTAATAATGATTATCATGCAGTAAAATCCCAAGATATGTCAGTTGCACCAGGATCCCGGTTTTTGCATGCGCGTCCTTCCAGCTTTCCGCAAAAATCATACTCGGTAAAAAAATATATTTATGTGACACGACTTTTTCACTGATTGCCGACGCTTTTATGAATCCAAACATATTTTATAGAAAGTATGCACAAAAATATCCCTTCTTGCGCTCATCATGCAGTAAATGACGTCTTCTTTATTTTTTACACGAATAAGGAATATCTTTATTCCTTAAAAGAGTATTTGAATTCCTTTATAGATTTTAGGCAAACCTGTTGATTCACTTGCATTAAGGTTTTCCAAACTACAAGCTATAGACCCTTTATTTGAAAAAAATCATGCCTCCCGCCTAGTTAGGGAACCGGTGTCATGCTTAGCTAATACGATCGTGAAGTGGCTATGGATCATATTGTATATGTCATAAGGGCCTTACTAAACGAACTGACATGTTGCTATCTGAATAGCCGTTTCACGATCTTAAAGAATTTCATAATCATGGGCTTTTCAAAGCCAGCAGATGCGATTTTTTTCGCCTAGGTTCGATCATGCCTATTCCAACTATCACTCGCAATGCTACAAGGCAGAAAGCACCCTAAGTGTCCCGGTAGCTGTTATGCCGTCCAGGAACGTAAGGCTCATAGTCAAGTCCTTCTCCGTGTACAACTCCAGTATTTTAGTATTCCAGGATATCATACTAGCAACACAAGTACTAACCAAAAGCCCAGACATGTGTGTTTCACCGATATTCTGCCGTTACGAAGGGTTCGACTCACCAGTGGGTCCCCCCTGCATTCCCGTCTGCTTTCTGGTAGATACTCCAAGTTATAAACTGCAGTTTTTAACTTCCTCAGAAGTTAACTGTTAACTTGGAGTAACTCAGTTTATACCAAGGTCTAGAGGCGCAGACTGAAGTTTTATGTATGAATATTTGGGCTGAAGTTTGTCAGCCACAGCAGGATAACCGCGTGATATTCATTAACTACTGACAGATAGCTAGTAGTATATTTTGGTGTTGCAAGATATCACACTCGCAGCACAGGTACTAGCCCAAATATCCATGCATCAAATTTCCGTCTGTCCTAGAGATCTAAGTGTAATCTGATTTACTCCAAATTAGCAGTTTATTCCAGGTGAAATTAAAAAGCAACAACTCTAGCATTTGCAAAGAAAGCTAGTATCTGTAAAGGTGCTCTTACTTCTTGTTGCATGGACAATGCTTTGTTGTGCCAGTTGATCGAGCTCAGGTCAAAGCCCTGACTCCAAACTTGTTCCGAACTGTTTAAACAAGTGCAATAGGAGAAAGATCTACCTCTGCTAACAAAACGCACATCGATTCAGATTTGCCGGATACATTAGACAGAGTAAGAAGACTGTCAGATAAGAAAATCATGCATTTACTACTTCTACTATTATTATTATTACTACTACTACTACTACTACTGGCATAATAAGTTGGATTAACGGTTTTATTGGACCACCGATGAAAAGGACAGAGGCTACACTCCCTGACAATCCAACAGATCCGCCCTAGCTTAAGTTTATTATCGGCAAACTGCAGAAGCATCTCGGGGAACTGAACGAAAACAACGCGATCCACTCTAATAACTGACACCAGATAAAGTTAATAGACACAGAGTTTACCAATCGAGACTCCAAAAGCTCAGTCTCTCTTATCCTCCCCGAATCCAACCCTCTTTTGGGAGAAAAGTCCCACTAATTAGTTAATCAAGCGGATGACTGTGAGACAATTCAGAATATCAACCTCTCGTTTTCCTCTTCGACCTCTGAGCATCCAAAAAACCAATCAAATGACACCTTGCAATCTTATTGTCTCTCCCCTTCGACTTGTAAACCGACGTTCGACGTATGTGCCTCAAAAAAGTCAGTAAAAGAAGATAGCAGCTGCTCAGGTTTAAAGACTTGCTGGGTGTGCTTGGGTTCTGCTTCAAGAACTCAAACGTCCTCAGTTACCACCACGCTCCGTCGAAAGACAGCTACGCCTCTAGCATAGCCTTCTGCCTCCGTCGAGACGTCTGCTGTTTAACTGTCATGCTCCTGAAAGGGCCACGCGGTATATGCTCTGGACCAACGCTCAAGGGCTTAATCAGTGTGCGGTAGGCGTTATTCAGACTGCGCACCCATAACAAATGCCAACATTGGGAGTTTGGTGGCACGCTCGGGTGAAGGCTGGCGCTGCGCCCATTGCGACCCGAGCCATTCCGTCCTTTTCTGGCTGTATAAAATCCTGGACAGTGTACTTCGGGGGCGAGGGGGTATGGTGGAACGCCTAGGCATGGTTTTTTTGTCTTGTCAGCCATCTGTGCCTTATCTTGTCCCCTGTCTTCGTGTCTCTGTCTCGATACCGAATCCAGGCAGTAATGAGACATTGCGGTAGGTGCTGTGCAAGTCTACTATCACCATAAAGCAACTCACATTTAAGCCACCGTCCCGACTTCCACCCTACTTCAGAGCACACGGTGGACATCTTCGGTCACGACGACCGAACTGTCGTCACATTCAAAATACTTGCCTTGTATTAATTAAGTCTGTATCTCTTATCAATTATCTGTTTAACAGAATCATAACGTCAAGCTGGATACCTGCGATAGTATCCTCTCCGTGGATACACCTTTGAATCGTGCCGGAAATGCCTGCATTCGAACTTGTCCCCTGTTGGAAGGCACGCTGAGGATAACCAGGGTGGTCAAAGCCGTGCCGGAGGAATTCAATTCGTCCCAGTGTGTCTCGTCTCTCGATGAGTCTATCGGTGGCAGACCAACTCAGATTGCCAAGGTTTACGCTTCAACGGACTTCGACAACTTGGTCCGTTGTGCTGCCTTATTTTCTTTATCGCATGTTTACTCACCGCTGTTTGCTGTAGTCCGGTCGTCTTAACAACAGCTTCAGTAGTCAACTTACTGATGGTCATAGGGCTGCAGTTGGAACTGAAGTCTATTAGCCCGTTGCTTTTGCATCCTATGTGCAGTCAGTTTTAATTTTTCAGAGAAAAAGTGTTTGTGTTTCACAGATTTTACACAACTCCCAGTCTCCTATCTACTTTAATTCACTCTTACTTCCAGGTTGATGAGATATTTGGAGGAATCTTCGATTCGGTTCATGAAGATAAAATGGCGCGAACATTGCCATTCGCCTCTCCGGTAACAGTCACCGAGAAACGCGGAGATCGACCGGCGGTCCACATCCACGACTACGGTCATAGGATCTGCCAGCTGGCCGACAACAGTCGAGTAAAGGCCCAATTCTCCATGGTTTCGCAAAAAATAACTGACTCTTTGCCTTCAGAACTAGTGTCTGAAGGTGACCACACCTTCAACGTCCAAACTTCTACCGAGGAATCTTCCGTGGCTAGTCAACCGCCGATGAACGAGTGCAGCTTTCTTAAGTTTGCAGCTGCGTACTTCCAGACGGGATCGACGCCGTTGTACACGTCGTCGCGTCTTGTCCGACCCCTCTTAAAGCATCGGAACCAATGTGACCTGCTTGTGAGTCAACATCCAACGGTTCGGAAATTAAGAATAAGCAGTGTTTGCTCAAACGTAACCATCATATCTTAAACCAGGTCTCTCATCAAAATTTACAACCTATGCACTCACTTAGTTGTGTCCCATCAGAGACGTTGACCAAGCAGGACACAAATTCTCAAGCCTTGACAAAGTAGCAAGCATCAATCGGGATATCCGTCTCCAGTTTCGTCTTATACAACTCCTGAAGAAAGTCATAAAATCTAGTCCTGTGCCATTACAGAGCACATCAGCTGCCCGACTATGCGGTCGAGCAGTTATTGGGATCCTCTATGAGATCACAGGATCAGGCTAAACCAACTATGCGCCGTTCTGCATTTAAGTCGCAGCGGTAAACAGTAACATCGCTACTGACATATACAGTGCGTGACCGATCTCATTTATGTCAGCCGAAATTCTGAACGCGTTTTCGATTAAGAAAGGTTTCTTAGATGATGTTGTGATATCAACTATCGTGTGACATAACACTATGATATTTCGACTCGCCAGAATGTTGGCTTTTGAATGCACTTCATTTCGACCGTCCGTAAGAAGCACACTCCGTAAAAAGTGGCCATTTAAGTAGTATGCATATTCCACATTGATTTTCGATGGTCTTACAAATTCAAGCATATTTCATAGAAAACATGCATTAAGATATGCTCTCCCTTATTTATTTGGTAGTAACTCATGCTGTCTCCGCATTTTATTCTTAGAGAAAGCGTATATTTAGGTTTTGAAAAGTTTTCCAATCCCCGAATAATTTTGGTTCTAATCAGCCGTTGCATTAGTGTTTAGAGATTTCAGTCTACAAGACGCATGCGCTCCGCGTAAGGATAATCATATATTCCTTTATGCCTTTAAGGCGATACTACATAGAGCTTATAAAATTTTGCAATGCATGCGGACAATGTTGTACGTTTCATGAGAAGCTTTGAGAAACGGGTAGGTACTGTATGAATCGACATCGGACGGTCTTAAAAAATCTCATTATTGAAAACTTTTAAAACCTGGAGATATCCTTTCTTTGAATATAAAATATGAAGACAGCGTGATTTGCTACCAAACGAGTAAAAGAATGCATATTTTTATGCATGTTTTCCACAAAATATATTTGAACTTATAAGGCCTTCCAAAATCAGTGTGAAAACGCATGCTATTTAACTAGTCACTTTTTACTGAGTGCGGTTCCAACAGGAAGTTGGAAAAAAGTGCATTCAAAAGCTAGCACCCAAACGAGTCCAGAATATTATAGGATTATGCCGCATGATAATAATTAATATTACAAACCCACCTAAATAATTCTTCCTAATCGAAAACGCATTGCAGAATTTTGGCCAACATTTCACGAAATTGGTCACTTACTGTATTTATTCCCGTCGAGGATCTCACCAAAAGTTCGCTTCTCCTTTCAGCTAGCCCTGGACATATTTTCGAGAATCCAAGCTTTTATGAAACCACAGATGAGAGACAAGGAACGTGTTCTCGGAAAGCAAGTCTTGCGCTCAAAACCCGAGTCTTCAAGGCAGAAAAAGCACAGAACGCCGGTAGGTGGAGTTGCGCACACAGTGCACGTTGCCAACCTGGCAAGTCGCATTTGGAATATTTAGGCGTCAGATGATGTATTTGCTTTTCTACATCACCTAGCTGCCGAATGGAGACGAGGACACTTTGGGCGAACACCAGAGGCCCTCTTCTTCCCTCCCGAACTTTCAGAGGCGTAAACGTGCAGCCTCTTCTATTGACGGCTGCCCTGGAGGTTTATCACCCAGTATTGCCTTCACGCAGGCGCAGAACGCACCAGGAGCCGCCGCCGTCGCCGCTGCCTCCTCAGAAGGCAACCTACTGTCTGACCTGCAGATCGCACGCTTTATCGTCAAGGCTGGCATCGAGCACCCACTACTGCGCGATGAAATTTACTGTCAAATTATCAAGCAGATAACCAAAAACCCCTGCGATCTCAGTCGTCGCAAAGGTGCGTGCGGGTACCTTTTTACTTCAGAATACTCATTTCCTCTTCCTCCCCCCACCCCCACCGCGCCACTTGGGAATGTAAAAAGTCAATACATTCGTGATTTTAATAAGATAGCTATGATTGCACTAGAAAGATTTCAAATATCTGACGGACGCCTCCAATGGATGGGTCAACACTTGGGGCATACAGAATTTCCCAAGAAATCTGAACATGCTAAAAGCCAAGGAGTACGCCCGGACGTTGAAACGCCAGCTTTTATAGCCTGACGTTCGGATTCAGAGTTGAACCCATACTTAGAGCCGGAAACTATACAATTGCTTGTCCATTTTTATGTCTTAACAGTCAGTTGCTCACATTTGGGTTAGTTATCGTGTTGGCTTTGGTGAGAATGCAAATATGACGGAATACCTCTAGTCTTCGTTTCACGACCCAAAAAATCTGCAAGACGCTCTTTGATATAACCGTAACGGCACGCCTCCCTCGCAGGTATGTATCTATACTTATATTCTCACTGCTAGTTTCGCCTAGGATGCGTCGACAGAGTTGTATTGAAATAGGTATTTTTCGTAGGGTTGCAGTCTTCTGAGAACTATGCCCAATCCTCTGAGTCGAGTGGGGATGAACCAAAATACAAGGCAGCCATAGGGCCAAAACACAGGCTCTATCGACTGCAAAATGAGCTATTCACTCCAGACGAAAATGACATGCAGTGAGTAAACATCGTCCCGTTTCCCCCGGGGACTCTGAAAGAACTCTTACCTTTCAATCCTTGTTCGGCTGTGTGGGAAGTTTTATGACTTAAACCTGGTTCCTCACTGGGCAATTTGGCCGCTGTTATCGATGATAACCTCAACTATCCGGCGTGCAGTGATGGTATCTTGCGAAAGACCTGCCCTACACATGCCTCGGCCAAGATTATTCGTTTTTCGATTAAGCGACTGCTCGGTGAGTAACGGTATGATTTACCCATGCAAGGCAACTTCAACACAGAAAATCGGCTCAGCCTGGGTCTGCTAAAGCTGTTGAAAGCTTTCTTGGGCGCTTTTGTTAAGTTCTTCTTCTTGTTGTCGGCCCTAAATTGAGCAACTTTTACTTTTCATTTTGTCCCAACTGTGGGAAACTCAGCTACCTTGGTTGGATTCAAAAGTACAACAGCAAGGGGTAGGCTTGAGTATAGCCAACGCTCTAACCGCCTGAACTACGAGGCCCCACCAGACGACGAGACTTTAATCACATTTAGGTCACGTTACCCACCCGAGCTACTGCAACGTCCGGAATTCACCAAATCTGGTACAGTAAGCTAACTGCCCCAGCAGGATTTCTTAAGTAATGAATCTAGAATCCACCAGATGACTGCAAGGCTCACGTACTTCACAGATGTCTTGGCAGATTTTGAATAATCCATATTGACCCAATGTTGAAAAAGTCGACGTCTTGGTCGGATTCGAACCCTCAACAACAAAGGGAAGGCTTGAGTACAGTGAACACTCTAACCACCTGAGCTACGATGCTCCCACCGGGAGCCCTGAGTTTAATCACATTTGGGTCAAGTTATCCGCCCAGCCTACCGCAACTTCTGAAATCCACCAAATCCAATACAGTAAACCGACTGTCCAAGCAGGATTTCCTAAGTAATCTATCTAGAATCCACTAGGTGACTACCAGGCAGTCAGCTTACTGTATCAAATTTGGTGAATTCCAGACGTCACAGGAGGTTGTGGGGGTAAATTGACCCAAATGTGACTAAACTTGCGGCTCTCGGTGGGGTCTAGTAGCTCGAGTAGCTAGAACCTTACTGTACTAAAGTCTTCCCCTTACTGCATGGGTTCGAATCCCACCGAGCCGCCGAGATTTTCACAGTTGGATCAGAATGAATTATTCAAAATCTGTCAAAACACCTATTAACTGGTTGGCTATGTCATTCCGCCTAGGATTACCAGCCGCTGAGCAACTGTTGGCTGGGCTCGAGAGACAGCCCCAAGGCACAACGGGACGAGTGAGTCCCGTAACGCTATTGGTGAGCGTCCCTCTACCATTATGCAATGAGGGTACTGTCGAAAGTATCATTTGCGTGATCGATAACCACATGCAGGCGTCTATCACACAAAAGTAAGTAGCAACCATGGAAGCACGGATTTCAGGCGGAGGGACAGGTTGTATCTCACTCTCACCTCACACAATTTTAGGACCCCGTACATAACCCAAGACGACGCTTTTCAGACTCAAGACTAATGTAACAAACCTTCTTGACCTCTAGGGTGGGTCCTGCTGTCCCTCTGCTCGAGCTGCTTTCCACCAACACATTTTGAGGCCCCGCTGAGGGAGTACCTCAAGGCCAACCCCTCCAGCTTCTCGAGGGCCTGCATAAAACGACTCCACCGACTGCACCAGACAGGCACACGCTCCAGACCACCAAGCTACATGGAACTCCGGGCGGCCGAAGAAAACAAAAGTCTGGTAATCAACATTCACTGCGCAGACAACACACAGGTCAAGGTCAAGGTGGATCCTGCAGTCACGGTGGCAGAGCTGTCTACCAACGCCTTCAAGGCAATTGGCCTAAAGGACACATTCGGCTTCGAGATATTCATAAATATTTTCGAGAAGGTAAACTGCTTGTCACGAATTTTGCCGTTTTTGAATACACGCATGTCTCTGCAAAGCCACCACAGTGGACAGTAACCTCCCCTTCTGCCAGCCCGGGGTGTCCCGATGGGAACTTGTAAAAGCTCAAATTACCGAGACTGGCAAAGTCGGTAGACTGAGGTAGTCGGTATTCGAAAAAGGGGTGCGGCAATACCTGTGTTGTCCAAAATACGAATACTTTCCTTACTAGCAGTGACCAGAAGAGCTATAATACTACCACCTACCAATAGTCATTTAGAATTCTATTGTGCATGCCTATAGGTAGAACATTATTTGATGCTCATCTGACCCAAATGTGATGAACTCGGCGGTCTCAGCGGGGTTCGAACCCACCGTATTCAGGTTTGTGTACAATCAACGCTCTAACCATCCCGGCTACGAGGTCCGGACCGGGAGTTATGAGTTGAATCACCGGCGGGATGGTAGTTGGTAGCCCTGCCAGTTAGCGATCCTTTCCTGCACTTCCAGTTTAAGGCACTACGATTTCAGTAGCTGTGATTACATTCTCAATATGTCTGGGAGTGCACGCGCAGAAGCCCTGTCAGGGTGACTTTCTTGTTCACTTTAACCGCCCCGAGAACGAGGCGCTGCAAAAATGCCTATATAGATTCATCGTATTGCACCCCCCACACGTAAAACTTTAGTAAAAGGCGAAAGATTTGTCCTAGGCGGATTATGATTCATCATGCTTCTCATTACCATCCTAGGCGGATTGGCACGGGTCTCCGTTTTGCCGGTTTGCCTGCGTCCTTGGGTCTTTTTACTCCAGACCTCCTGCAGATTCCGGCGTGACCGTGTACGAAAAGGACAACCGTCGCGTAGATAGGGTATTTACCAATACTCCACCCACGTATAGCACACAACGACTGCCATAGTTTTAATTCTAAATGTGGCCACAGTGGCAATAAACTATTATTTGCGGATTTTCTCTTCCGCCCAAACATATTCTTGACATTAAAGTCTTACCCCCCTTGCGTTATGCCGTCCTGCGTGCCGCTGCTTGATTCTCGTGTTCTCATGTCCATTCTGTCGGTTTGAGTACTATCGCACATACTGCGGAACGACCTTAAGACACACTACCTTCTTCTCATTGGTTGTTCACCTTCAGTTGCTATTCTTTCCAATCTGGGGTAAGGCTGCATTTATTCCGCATACCGTTGTAATTAACCATGCTCATTTCCATATCCTTCTTGCATTTTTCACCTTATTTAAATTAGGCTTTCACTTTAGCAGGAGCGTCAACTCCAGGCATACACTACCAGCGCCATTTACGCCTCCACTCATTTGCCCCACCCGTATAGCCCCGATTACCACCGGCCCCGTAAGACAGGTATCTGGGAGTTTTCGGCACCGGGAGGGCTACCAACTACCATCTAACCGAATCACCCTTGGCAAAGTAGTCCCCCCAACTTACTACAACGTATGGAATCCACCAATTGTGGTGTTTAGGATAGGTGAAAATTCTAAACATACACAGGAAATTGTTTAGTGTATTTTCATTACAGTATATTTAGTTGGCATCTCTTTAAAACTCCCAATAGTACCTGGCATGGGAAATCGGCAAGGTACGAAAAGGCGTTAAACGTAAGTCCACATTGAAGCCATGTTTTCCCGGAATAAATTTGAATAAGGCAAAGGCGACAAAGCATGCAGATTTTACTGACGTCATAAATTTCGAGACCTCTCATTTAGCTGCACACGGTCATTGCATAGTTATATGACACGATTATGGACGAAACCCTGTTCCCATATACGCCCTCTCATTTCGCCCCCCGCGCCCTCCCCCTCCCCGGCACGACTGAGTGCTGCCCGCGCGTTGCACTCTAAATCACGCCAGACAAGTTCTCACTGTAGACCTAACTCTCGTACTTGGATGACCTCTCCCCCCCTCCCCCCCCTCGCCATGCGCACCCGCATACTAGACCCATGTTTCATGTTACCTATCACGTTTTATCCCTCTAGGTCGATCGTTGATTGAACAGTTTGCTTTGTCATATAACTATGCAATGACCGTGTGCAGCTGAATGAGAGGTCTCGAAATTTATGACGTCAGTAAATTCTGCATGTTTTGTCGCCTTTGCCTAAGTCTATATTGTCTCTGAAAAGCGTAAGACAATTTACCATTCAAAAAACCTGTTTAAAGAATCTTTGGGATTTTCGAGATGGTAAATGTCTTCCCTTAACTCGGGCGTTGGAACCACCAGACTAAATGCCATTTCCATACTGTTGTGGCAGCTTTCGAGCGAACATGACCGCGCAAACCTTAACGACTAGAAAACAGCATGCTGTCTGTTTTACCTTTAGTTTCCACGTCTGCATTTTGAATCCCAGTACTTCAAGACTAAAGTCGCCCCAAAAAAACCTTCGTTTTCACTCTGCTGCGGTGTTCTTAACAGTTTAGGAGCGAGGACTGAGACAGAGATTCACAAGCTTTCGAAGCCTTATGCTTACTGAAGTTCAACTATCGCTTTTTGCGCACCTTAAATACGAACACGAAAGCTCAGACTTCTCGGGAGCGTTTCGGCGGCCGTTAGGCTGCAAACCTGCGTGCTCAGGACGTTCTTCCGTTTTATTGCTCTCAGGGACTGACGGTCGTCGCTTTGATTTTGACTTTTGAAGAGCGTGGAGGATTCGTACTTGAATCCCGCTGCCGTTCATGACCTCAAATATTCTTCTGTTTGATGAATCACACAACTCAGTTTACCATATCTCTGATGAGCATATAAACATTAACTTCAGTATGGACGATAAGAGCTCGGCTCTAAGCAGCCAAGTGGTCTTGGACTTTGGCTGTGAACTTCGACATCCAGGTCTGATATTTCAGAAATTTCGAGAATACAGACAAAAGTGCGAGTGTGCGGTTCCTGTTCAGAAGAGGAGGGGGCTTCAACCTCCGGAATAGCCGTTTTACCTGCCCCAGCGGGCAGTCAGTTCCAAGGACAACTTGGACACCGAAACTACGCGGTTTTTATAGCGTCTCACCGGTTACCCATCTGGGAACTGGGTCACGCCATCTGACGGGATAGTCAGGGAGATCAATTTACAGTTTCTTGTCGTTGCTGTCGTGAGCTAACCCTTCAAACAGTTTAGAATCGCCTTTATTCCTGAGTCACCCCATTTTCCTGACTTTTTTTCAAGTCGAATTTGTTACCTGCCTCTGAGGTGCGCACAGCATGCCCAGACGGTGAGCTATCCTTCGTGCCACCATTTTGGAGTTCTGTACTATGAGTTCAGGCTTCTTACAGTCCTTTGACCCATGACCTGGGGACACGCGTGTTTGTATGGGTACTCTATGCATCCCTCAGATCATCATTCAGGAGACTTGATTAGAGGTTTATTTTATTGTCCTTTGGTCCCATGACTCCTACCTACAGGAGTTTCGGATGGACGGTCGATAACCATGCATAATATACTGAAAGATTCGAAAGCTTCAGTAGGTTCCACGTTTGTGCTCAGAAGAAGTAAAAAAAGCACCAGTCGATAAACATCGTAAGTGGCCGTTGTTTGCGTATGGGTGGCATAGATGCCCAGGTTTTCGCGTTCATTGTTCTAGGTCACTGCCATGTTTCCTATTTTTACATCAGGAGCAGGGATGATTAGAGACATACCGACGACCGGTAATCTTCAGAGAAGAGTTTCTGGTGGTTCGTTTGTACATGGATCTATTTATAACTTCACGGTGCTTTATTATGCATGCCAGTATATCTATATTTGAAGAATTGAAGGCAGAACTCGTGCTCAGTTAATTTTAAAATATTAACTGTCAATATTAAACTGCAAACATTCAGAATTGCGTTCAAGTCAAAAGACAACACATTTAAGAACGATTATTGTCGCTCGGCGCGGAAAGAGTGTAGGTCACGAAGTGTCTCACAAGGCTGTCTTTATGTAATCATGTTGTGGAAGCGAATTTGTCAAACATTT